GAGGCAGGAGGATCACCAGGAATTTGAGGCCAGCCTGGGCTACAGAGTGAGTTCAAAACCAGCCTGGGCTACAGAGTGAGATCCTGTCTCAAAAAACCAAAGCGGGGGTAAAAACACCAAAAAACAAAAATCAATCATAAAAATACGAGAGGCTGAGGAGTGCAGCTCAGTAGCAGAGAACATGCTCAGTGTGTGCAGAGCCCTGGGATTCATCCCCAGAACCACACACACAGATGGCAGAATAGCAGCAGAGCACTTGCCTAGCACACACAAGTCCTGGGCTTTTCAAATGTTTGTTTGGGCCTCTCACTGAACTACAACCCAGCCTTTTTATTTATTTTGATTCAGGGTCTCACTAAGTCACTAAACTGCCCAGGCTGGGCTCAAACTCCATCCTTCTGCCTAGGCCTCAGCGGTGCTAGTGTTACAGGCATCTGTGTTTTGTCGGGCCGGCCTGGGACCAGGCTCAGCCCCATATGGTGGGGGAAATGTATGAGGTATCTACATATGGCACAATGATATTATTTAGCTTTCGAGAGGAAGGAAATCCTGATACTTGGCACAATGTGAAAATCAAGACAAACACAACAGCACAAATAATACACAATCCCTCTGACACGAAGTACCTAGAATAGGCGATTCACAGAGACAGAAAACAAATTTGAGGTTATGGGGAGCTGGGGGAGAGGGAAAAGGGAGTTATTGTTCAATAGGAGTTTCTGTTTGGCTGATAAGCTGTTGGAAACAGCGTTGGCAGTTGCACAATATTGTGAGTATACTTAGTGCCACTGGAAAATGGTTAAAAATGACAAGTTTTTTGCTACACAGATTGCAACACCACAAAAACATGCAAGGCAGCACTGGGGAGAGAAAGAAAGTGGGACTCTGGGGAAGAGCCAGATCTGGTGAATCAGGAGGACGAGGACACAGTGTTGTTTTTCTGACCCTGCCTTTCCATTGGATGGCACTCAGCGGTGGCAGTGACAGTATTTTTGATCACAGCTCTCAAAGATATTCATGAGAGACAACTTCCAGAACTCCTTCAGAAAGTGCCAGGAAAATTAACAGGAAAACTCTTGTCCTACCTACTCACTGACAAGACCGGAAAGATAAGCCAGCAAGTGATACCAGCCACCATGTCGACCCTGAAAATGCTCTAAAATGAAGAACTTTACCCCAATAGCATCCTTCCAGGAGCACCAGGCACCCCCAGCCCCTTCCTCCACAGGGCCACCTCCGTCTAACCCTGACAGGGCCGGCATACCTGTCTCCCCCCCGAATCTAAGCTACCTAGGACAGACTGGCTGCTTTGACCACTGCTCTAAATTCCTGCGTGAGTAGACGCACCATCCACATCCACAGAAGGAATGAATTACAGCCGCAACAACCCATGTTGGGGAACAGTATGAATATTCCTCAAATTTCTCCTAAAAAAGAAGAGAAAGAAATACTTCCTAACTCATTTTAGAGGGCCAGCATGACCCTGACACCAAAGTCAGAGAAAGACATTATAAGGTTATATAGGTGCATATGCTTTACAAACATTGATGGAAAAATCCTCCTGAAAACATTAGCAAACTGAATCCAGCAGTCCTATTTTCTTTCCCATTTGGTTTTTTGATGCAGGGTCTGGCTATGCAGCCCAGCCTGGCCTCAAACTAGTAATCCTCCTGCCTCAGCCTCCCAAATGCTGAACAGCAGGCATGTGTTACCACATCAGTACTGACTATTAAAAGATTTTTAGAACATGACAAAGTGAGGTTTATTCTTGGAATGCAAGAACGGTTCAATATACAAAAACTCGATCCACTATCATTACCAGTATGAAAGAAAAACCCCCACACAATCATTCCAAGAGATGCAGAAAAAGCATTAACAAAATTCAACTTCTTTTTCAGATTAAGGAAACACTCAAGGGGATGTAGCTCAGTGGTACCGTGCCTGCCTGGCAACCGCAAGGTCCTGAGTTCCATCCCAAGAAAGAAAACACTCAAAATGCTATGAATGGAAGAAAACGCAACATGATAAACTCTGTATATGAAAAATCCACAGCTGGGGGTGTGGTGACACATGTCTGCATCCCAGCTACTCGGGAGGCTGAGGCAAGAGGGTCACAAGTTCAAGGATAGCCTGGGCCACTTAGTGAGACTCTTGTCTCAGAATTAAAAAAATAAAAGGGCTGGGGGTGTAGCTCAGTGGCAGGGTGCTTGACTATGATATGTAAGGTTCTGTGATCAATCTCCAGTGGGAGGGGTGACCTCATGATTAAAGGACATTACTGACATTATTAGGAAAGTAAAAAAGGCAATCCAAGGAATGGGGAAAATATTTGCAAATCATGTATCTGATTAGTTGTAAATATTCAAACTATGAAGAACTCTTACAACTCAACAACAGTAACACACACACACACACACACACACACACACACACACTGGATTTAAACAATGGACAAAAGACTCGAATACACATCTCTCCAAAGACAACATGCTAAAAACCATAAATACATGAAAGCTTCACATCACTGATCATCAGGGAAATGCAAATCAAAACCACAATGAGACATCACTTCTCCCTCGGTAGGAGGCCAGAATTTAAAAAGGAAAGGAAAGAACAAGAGGAGCAGTGGAGACCCCAGAACCCTTGTGCGCAGGCTGCTGTTGGGTATATGAAAGTGTGCAGCTGCTGTGGAAAGTGTGGGGAGCCTAGGGCCTCAAAAGATTAGACACAGAGCGACCGTGTGACCCAGCAACGTCCTTCTGTGTATACACCTAGAAGGATCAGAACAGAGACTCAGACGTTTTTACTTCCAGGTTTACAGCAGCATTGACAGCTGCCCAAAGGTGAAAGCAACCCAACTGTTCATCAGTAGATGAATGGATAATCAAAATTGTGTACACGCTCAATGGACTATTACTCAGCTTTAAAAAGTGATGAAACAGGGCCTGGGATTTAGCTCAGTGGCACAGCGCCCGCCTTGAAAGCTCAAGGTCCTGAGTTCAATCCCCGGAACCAAAAAAAAAAAAGTGATGAAATGGTACATATGCTCAGACACGCATGAACACTGAAGACACTAGACCAAGTGAAATAATACTGTATGACTCAACTTCTATAAGGTTCCCAGAGTAGTCAAATTCGTAATCACAGAAACCACAACAGTGTGTGCCAGAGGGAGAGGAAGAAGGCATGAGGAATTACTGCTTTAATACCTAGAGTTTCTGTTTGGAATGATGAAAAGTTCTGAAAATAAGGCTCTGGTGTGATAACAATGTCGATTATAATGCTGTTGGACTGCATACTTGAATGGCTAAAATTATAAATTTTATCACAATTTTTTTCATGGAGTCTATTGGTACTTTTTAGGTACACAGTACAGTTACATTCATTATTGGGATCCCCTCCCCTCTCCTGCCCTCCTCTCCTCTACTTCTTTTCTTCGATTGCCAGACAGGCAGTGGAACCACTGAGCCAAATCCCCAGCCCCTCATATTTTTTCTTCTCCCTCCTTTCTTTTCACAATTTTTTAAATTAAAAAAAACCCAATTCCTATTTGCAGGAGAATCAAGTATGTGTCCACGGCACTGGAGTTTGAATCCAGGGGCTTTGCATTGAGCTACATCCCTGGGCAATCTTTTAAAATTTTGAGTCTTACTAAATTGCCCAGGCTGGTCTTGAACTTGTGATCCTCCTGCCTCAGCCTCCCCGAGTTCTGGGATTACAGGTGTGCACCACCATATCCCACTGAGAAGAGTCTTTAAAGGCCAGTTCTCCTGAGGGCTCGACACATTCTTCCCATGGCAGTGAGCTAAGAGGATGCTATCTTGTCCCCTGTATTCAGACCTCAAACCCAGCCCCAACAACATGAGCCCTAATGCAAGCAAGCAGCCTCTGTGGGCCAGTACTGTCTGAAAAGGCTGACACTTAACCTTCCCTGGGCCACGCAGTTTGCAGGTAGCTTCTGATGTGTTGCACAGCTGCCAACACACACAGACGCCAACCTGACCAGCTTTCACTCTTGGTTACTTCCCCTTTAGCTTTCCCACAGTGTTCCAGACAGGGTGAAGGAAAATGGGCCAGAACAAGCAGATTGGTTTTGTTTTTTTCAAATAGGAAAGTGTCCCCAGATCCCTGCTACTTCTGGCAGCTCTGGCATATTTAATATTCTCTCTGCTTAGTAAAGAACACAATTATGGCCCAAAGACAGAGTCAACAACCTCCTCCCGCTGTGGTCTCTACGGGTCTCTATGCCATTACATCTCAGAATAACCCAGGGACCGGGAACGGGCAAGGGTTGTTGCCCCTATCACCAAAGGCTCAAGGACGGGGAGCAACCTGCTTCCAGTCGCACAACCTAGAGTGACCTGGCAGGATCTGCACTCAGGGAGTGAGCTTCGGAGTTCTGCTTCTGCACTGCTTTGGAAGATAACAAGGCAGAAACGGATTCGCAGCATTTTGATGGCAAACGAAGGAGAGGGAAAATGCTTCTGAATCTGGCAACTAACAGGACTGCTGGGCCCACTCCCAGAGAAGCATCTGGGCAAGAAACAAAAGCAAGCGCCCTCTTCTTTCCCTGCAGTACACCCTGATGGCTTTTCCTTGGAATTTTTGCATTCTACAATTCCTGCGGTGCGCTGGCCAACAGGGTAGGGTCTGTCAGGCTCAGGAAATCTAGTGTGGGAGTGCAACGGAACAAATCACGCCGAAACCTGCAAGCATCTTAAGCTGACGTTGGACCTAGCAACAAGATGAAAGGGTGAAGCCAAACTTCCCACAGCGCACTGACCGTTCCCCTTCTACCTCGGTGCCCGCGCTACGACGCTCCCGCCCGGTAGAGCCCCGCCCCACAGCGCACGAGTCTGTAGGCGGGTGCCTCTCCTCACGCATGCGCCACACGCATGCGCGCCTCCACAGCGGCCTTTTCCTGCTAGTTCCGGCTCTCCGGCCTGGACTCCAAATGCTGGCTGAGGCCTCGGTTCTCTCCCTCCCCCGGCGTTCCTCACCTTGCGCCCGGTTTTCTCCCGTAGGGCCTTCAGCCGTTCTTTTCTCCGCAGGGCCTCTTCCTCTAGCCGGCCCACACCAGCCGCAGCGGCCATCTTACCACCTTTTTTTTTTTTTTTTTTGGTCTTGGTCGCGCGAGATCTGACGGCCTATCCAAGACGAGAATTAGTGCGCCGGAATCGCTGCGAGCCAATCAGTGCTGACGTGCTCTCGGAGGGCCCGTAACTCTCCTGGCTGGTGAGGAGCTGGCAAAGGAGAAAAACAACGCAAATCAAAACTGCTAAGGTTCGATTTCTTCAACGCTCATTAGCTTCAGCCGCAAGTAGAATCAGACCAGAGAGAAAGAAAATAGACTGCGTCGATCACCCCTGGTTTTGCCTGAGGACTACACAAACTGCATCTCATTTCCTGCTGGTCTCTTGAATGCCCTGATCCGTCCTTATTCATTTGTCCTGTCCTGGCTCTTCAAAGATGTGAATGCCTTCCAGGAACCTTTCTGAACCAGGCGTGATGACGCACGCCTGTAATCCCAGCACTGGGGAGGCTGAGGCAGGACGAGGGATGATCTCGAGTTTAAGGTCAGCCTGAAAGAAGTAAATGAAAGAGAAGCCTTCCTTGACTCAGATCCGACCCTAATATGAGGTCCGCCTCTCCCTCCGCTACATCTCACGTGTCCCTTCTAACCCCGGACAAAATTTAAACCGAGCGGGACCCAGCGGCATAGGCTTTATAGATGATCTCTCCTCTCCCCGCGTCTCCACTCTACTCCACAGCAAAGTACAGAGTCGAGGGCCTTCGCTCGAGGGAGTGCAACGGGCCCAGGTGGGCCCCGGGAACAAGACCGTCCACTACCCCGATTTAGAAAGAGCTGTGGTAGCCTGGCATGGGGCAGTGGCCCCGAGGTGCCTGGCTGCAGGGTCCTTTCCTGCCTTGATCGCCAGCCTTGGTAACTGGAGAGAACCCTTTGGTCAGGACGCGGGCTCCCTACCCAGGCCGGCACCCTCCGGAGATGAGGCCACGCCCCTCCCCTTCCCGGGACAGCCGCCCCTCGCTTGGCCGTCCCTCCAGGCACCTGCCCTGCCCTTACCAACCTGATCGATCGTTAGCCCGCTCCCCACAGTGGGTGCAGTGCCAGGGCCTGGTAAGGGGGGGATGTGCCCAGGAATTAGAGCGGAGGGGAAGGAGTAGAGCCGACTTCGTGGGGGCCACCCAAGGAGCAGTGGGACAAGGCCAGGACCGGGATTCAAGACTGGCCAGTGCTTACGACCCATGGCACCTCTCTGGGCCTGGTGACCCCACCACCCAGCTCCAACAAAAGGCCTGACCCCTGCCCTACACGTGGGAGGGGGGGCTTACTTCACAGACAAGCCGGGGACAGGGAAAGCGGCACAGGAGCCATGGGGACGGTGGCCCAGCATCCCATTAGGCCTAGGTCCCTGTCCCCGCTGCCCCTTGAGCCCGAGTTTCCTCCATCTGTAAGGCAGGCAGGAGGCAGCCACCCTAAGAGGCTAAAGGAACCTAAGATGGGCCCCGGAGTTACTGGGGTAGGAGCTCCTCCACGGTACCTGAGAAGGCTTCCTGGAGGAGGGACATCGGCTCAAGGGCTCTTTGGGAACCCGCCCACCCACAGAAAAGGGATTTCAGGCTCCTGTGGCCTGGGACCTCACATAGCATAGCTCAAAAGTGGCCCTCAGATCAGGTGTGGCACATTATCTGTAATCCCAAGGGTCTAGGAGGCGGAGACAGGACAATTATAAATTTGAGTCCAACCTGGGCAATTTAGGAAGACCCCATCTCAAAAATGAATTAATTAAAAATGAAAAGGGGTGGATCTGCAGCTCAGTAGGAAGCCCTAGGCTGAATCCCTCCATACCCGGGAGGCGCCTAGAACAGAACCTGGCCGGCGGTGAGCGCGACAAACGGCCGTCATGGGAGTGGGCGAGTGTCACCCGTGAGAGCCCTGACCGAGAGACGGAGTCTCCCGGGCCGCGGGGCGGCGCCTGTCCTAGTGTACGCTACACTCCGGTGACCCGGGCTCCACCTCCCAGCTGGCTCTAACCCTGCCGGTCCGGGGGGTGGGGCGG